CTAAACTGCCATGACCGACGCACTCACCCAAATGTCTAAAAATGAACTGTCCTGACTGACTACTGCACATGACTGGACCAGATGATAGTGTACAAGAAGTCGGTCATGCTACATGAGCACACCTAGATGTCTATAAACAAACTGCCAAATCCAATGTATTACACGTGGCTAGATAAGATGGTAGTGTGCAACATGTCAGTTGTGCTGCATGGGCATACCCAAATGTCTAAAAACGATTGTTGTTTGCGCTTTCAAATTATCTCTAAGGTACTAATGCATTAGGGAGTGGAACAACAGGAATCCAATCCCATCCTTTTTTATCTGTAGGCCTTCCAGTTGATCATTGACTTGAAGGAGGATGGTGAGGGCCACCCCCGTCAGAATAAGGGGTCAGTCCGATGACCTGCTCTGGTTGAGGACATGGAGGATAGTAATTCATCGTCATGGTCTGACCTCCTTCGAATAGCACCCTCATATCATCAGCTTCCACTTCTAAAGCTTTTACCATAAGGTTAAGGACCTTCATGGCAAGGTTTTGTAGTTCTGTTGAGTATGCTTCTATGGAATCTCTGCATGGTATAAGAGAATTTTTCAGTTAGGGAAATGTAGATATCATTGTAAAAATAATGAGAAAACTAAAAATAATGTAATGAAGGAGATTTAAACTCCGAGAAAGAGAGGATTCTAACCTGAATGGAAGAGGGAGCTTGGGGAATAAGTGGGGTTTCCTGAAACTTGTTGGAAGAGTGATCATATAGAAGCGGTCAGCCCAATCAAGCTTCTGCTCCTCTGAGACAACAAAGTCCTGTCCAAATCCCTGTGTCTCCTGCTTCCTGCCCAAACTTTTCCTTTCCTCTAATGGTAGTTTGAAGAATTCTTGAGTCTCTGACTTCACTTTGTCCACCAATGAAGAGCTCACTCCATGATTTATCAACTGCAAAAATACATCTCATATTCCTTTTCAACTAAGCCCACATGTTTATAATTATAGGAGTCCTGACGAGTTTAGATTCCTTACTCCTATCAATGCATGGACAAAGATAAAAGACCATTAGTTGGGTTAGCAATAGAGTCCACAAGAGACTTAAGTATTATATTATGAATATCTAAATATATAGTATATATTATTACAATCAAATTAGGTGGGCAGGGCTTGGGAGGTAGATGGCCTTCCCTATCCATTTCTCTTTTTCCTAGAATTTTTTTTTTGTTTCAACATATGATTTTATTAGCACCATAGCTTATAGTCTAGTGATAAAGCATGTTCATTTTAGAGTCGTCCTTGACTACAAGTGATTATCAAACAAGGTTTGATTCACGAGATTCTTATGCCTTGCTACTTAGGCTTCGATGGTGGTGTGGTGACGAACTACCTAAAAGGGTTTGTGGCTATGGCTAACAGAACATTTCACATCAGAGAAGACCTTTATGGTCACGGCCAGAGGAGGTCACTGTTACTGGTCGCCCCTCTCCATTTTTTTGATAAAAAAAAAACATATGATTTTATCCATTCACATTTTGTCACGTGTCACTGTAACTACTCTCCACGCCTACTAATTAATTACCATACATTTGACCACTGAGGTGGTAGCCTAGTTGTATTTAGTAAGAGGGGAAAGTCACGCCCTTCTTTAGTTGTCATGGGTTCGAATTCATTTATAATAGTAGTTCTTGTGAATCAGATATTACTGGAGGGGCTAAATGTCCTGCTTGCCGTTAGTGGTGTTGTGATGACGAACTCAATCATCCCAAATCAATAATTATAACTCAAAATCGAATATTCTATAAAAAAAAATTACCAGAAATTTCAAGATAACGTTATGGGGATTGCTATGTCTGGTCGCCCCTAACCACCCTTCAATTTAGCGAAAAAACTACCACATATTTGAAGTTTTTTAAAAAAAAATTATGTATATCACTCCATAATCTATCATAATTATTATTGAACATTTCAAATTACCAGGTAAAAAATATAGAAGGATTAGGAAGAATCGTAACTTCTGTGTATAGTTCGAGCCTGCCGCTAATATATATTAGATAACAAACAAATTAATTAGGAGAGGCCTTGTCAGGCCTTCGCATCTTGTTTTGTTTGTTTCTAGAATTTTGATTTTATTAAATAGAATAATAAGATTTTGTTTATTGAAAATTTTCCAAGTTGCCTATGTAACCACTCGTCATACTTTTACACCTTCTCACTTAAAAATTTTACATTTATATTGGTGATTCTTTGTGTCTGAACGAGATGGGTTGAGATAATAAAATGGGATCAGAAGCGGCCGCTGGCCAGAGCCTCTGGCTTTTCAGTGGAGGTTGGGGATTCGAAGTTTCCTGAGCGTATAAGCGTGTCTGTTTGGTAGAATAAGACTTTAGTTACTTGGATGAACTGTATTCAAGTTTTTAGTGTTGGTCTTGAGTGCCGGCGAAACGCACGTTCCGTTTGAATTAGTATATGAGTTGAGGGACCGGTTCTTACACCCAGAGTTTGTTCTTGGTTCTACTCAGAGTTACGAGCTTGAGCGACATAAATGCACCTCTATTCGCTGAGGACAAATCATGGGATTTTCCCGTTTCCAAAAAAAAAAACAAATATATATATATATATATATATATATATATAAAAAGAAGGGAGAATTACACCCAATTCTCTTGAAATTTATTATTTAATTATTCAGACTCCTTGAAGTTTAAAAAATTACATACAGGCTCTTGAAGTTTGTACGCGCATAATAATTTAAAATTTCTCTCTCTCTTGTAGAGAAGTTGTTCTTCAAACTAACGTTGTTTCACACACAAAACATCACCAATATAAAAAAATAATAATTTAAAATTCATCTCGAGAAGCTGTTCCTCAAATTGATGAGTTTTCGCACACAAAACGAAACCGTTTTAAAAAATAATACCAGTGTTGAACAGTAAAGGGATCCCCACCCTTCTTTTTCTTTTTTCTTTTTTCTTTTTTTTATCTAGACTTAAGTTTAGGGACGGTTACCAACGTGAAGGCCAAAGAATATGTGTTCTTAGGCATCTCCGAGTCTTATTTAAATTTAAACTCAAATTTAAATTTGAGTAAAAAAATTTTAAAAATTTGTTCCAACCCTTAACTCAAACTTATACCAAATTAAGAGAAACTCATTTTTTTTACTCATATCAAGGGAGACTCAAATCTTTAATGTTGAAATTTTACTATTTTTTAAAAATCCAATGGTCATTATTACTCCCTTTTAAATTTGGGTTTACTCTCATTTAAATTTGGGTTTCTCCTTCTCTAAATTTGAGTCTGTCTATTAAAGTCTTTTATATCAAATCAAGATTTTTACTCAAATTTGAGTAAAAATTTGAGTTATAGTCGGAGATACTCATAATACTTGAGAAAAACATGACATTGATAACACTGCAAAAAGTAACTTTGTCAAAAAAACAAAATCTCTATTGGTTTGCAAATTATGAATGCTACTACACTTGCACCACGTATATACATGTTCATGAATAGAGTGTTAATCGACCTGAATTTGAAATTAATAATTTAATTATTTATAAATAAACGAGCTGATTCATTTAACTTTTTACATATAAACGAGTTTAAAAAAATATGCAAATTTAACTTGTTTAACAGCCCTATTCATGAATTGAGGCACGGAGCGATGAAACGTGAGGCATCGATGATGAATCCTGGGACTCAGGCCAGAGTACAATTTATTAGAATAATCGTCCAAATTTACTTTTATAGAACACCTGTCTGTCCAGAAAATTTCTACTCACTCAGCAACTCTTTGTTTAGGTGTGCCTCCAAGACAGTTTGCAAAGAAAAAACCAGGGTTAATTACAATTTTAGCCCTCTAATTATGCCCATGGTCCCTTCCAAGTTTCAAGTGGACTAAATTGACTAACAACAATAACTTAATGCCTGAAAGAACCATTACAGTCTCTGTCTTGTATATTATTTTTCATATTTTTTTCCATGAGATCAATTTTGTCCTAAAAAAATAAAACTACATGATTCACACTCCGAATGCATCTTAAGTTGCTCTTCAAGCATATTTGTCTTGACCTTATCAAACTTGGTCCGACTCTCAAAAAATTCTTATCGTTCAACTAGCTCATAAACAAAGTAAATTCAAAGTAAATCCAGTGTACAAACAACAATGAATGCTTCTACTTTATCAATATCAGCCAAGCTCCAACCTATTAAACAAGTGAATGGACACAATGGGGAGTAAGTAAATAAAAGAAGAGAAAGAAACTTAAAGCCCTAATCTTTTAGGCAACGAAGGCTCATTTGCAAAGAATTTAGCCCTTACAAGAAGCATTGGGGGCAATTGTGGGGCCCTATACTTGGCAAGTGCCAACCAATAGCTCACAAGTAGGGATGACAATGGATCAAAAAAAATGGACATTCGTCCAAACCCGTCTCGTTTAGACCGGGGATGGACTATACCCTTACCCCCGTCCTGTCCCCGTTATACCCGTTAAACATAGCACTTTATTATTTATTGTTACTTCCTTGCTGTGTTTTATAGATGTCTACTAGGCACTCTTTTCTGGTTTCAACTTTCCTTACCAACACATGCGGCAACGTAATGGGAAAAGTTAAGTTCATTTTAAATCCAAATAAGTGTATAAGGCTGGGTAATGCAATAATCAAGCAAATAGCAGAAAACCAAACCAATAATCATACCAACAATAGATATGATAAAGAAAAGTGCAATGTGAGGTAGCCTTCGTGTTAGACAACAAATGGAAGCCACCTAGCATGACTAATATTTATAATTATACTGCGATGGGTGTAAAAACTTTCAAATTTTGATCAGATACAAAATCACTAGATAATAGAGGTGAGAAACAAATACAAACATACCAATCAAGCATTAGACACTGGTTGAAACCAGAAGTTCACTAGTTTTGTTTTACCCTGAGTCTTAGTGATGTACATTTACAAAAGAGAGAAAACATATTCAATAACTCCGAAGAGATATTTCCAGCTGCTCTATTTTTTTAGCTAGATCATGCTTCCCACAATTCTTTAATCCCTCAGTAACCATGTCAAGGTTTTGCGACATGGGGCGACAAATTCAACTACGTCATCTCAATACCATCCCGTCCACACATCTTTATTAACATAGTATTTAAATTGTTAGATTATTTAGAATATTGTTGGATTATTTAAAATGTTAAATTTATTTAGAATTTTAGATTATGTTGGCTTGAATTTGGGTTTGGGATTAAGCTTAGGTTTGGGCTTGGGCGTGTACGGGGACGGAGACGAGGACGAGGATTAAAAATTTATCCGCGGACGGGGATGAGAATGAAAATTATCCCCGTTAACGGGAATGGACGAAATTTTTTTAAGCGGGTATGGGGATAAAAATTATACCCTCCCGGCCCCCGCTTCGATCCACTGACATCCCTACTCACAAGCGGAGTCTAGCCTACTGGCAGCCCTCCTAAGGGACCCAACCAACCAACAGGCAGCTTACCGCGACCCATTAAGTACCCCCGCACCACTCCTCATGCTTGTCCACCTCTGTTTGATGAGTCCAGTTCTACTAAGGTTTAACCTAAGACCAAGAATCATAATGTAATACTATTCTGAACATCTAGGAGTTGGTGATATGACACCTAGGAGCAAGAATCCTAGTACAATATACTTTGAACTTTGAGGAACCAGTGATGAGGTTAATTTTATCACAACTTAGACTTTGAGTTCCTTTGACATATAGCTTTTTATCACTACAAATAAAGACCTCCGAATTGATGATTGGAGGTGGCCAAAAAGACTCAAATGCTTAAGTCATATCGCAAGTCGAAGAAGAGTATGAAGTGAATAGACTAGAATTGAATTTTCTTACCATCATCTCTGCTTTATACGAGGTGATGATTCCTTGTGCAAAATTATCCCACACAAATGAGGTTTATCTTCAGAGTAACGATGTACTTATCAAATATTTCACCAAATGTACTAGGGTGATTAGATTAGTAAATGGGACTCAACCCATTCCATATTGATTACCCATCTAAACTGGATCTATCAGTCAGACTTATATTACACTTAAAAAAATATAGATTCCAATATTTCCTATTCAAATCCACCATCTCTCCTATACAGAATAATCTATTTACAACTATAAACAGAGGTACCAAAAAAGAGGTAGAAATGGAAAGAGGTACCAAAAGTATAGCAATGCTACGATAAAATCTCCCCTTCTTCTCCATCTCCCTTCAAAATCGTCTCATAGTCCTCATATACTAGATGATCATCCTTTATATACAAACCAAGTCGTTCCAAAGCATTCGCAGAGCGACCCCCCTTGGCTGCTCCCAATACGATTCCAGACCACCCATCTTCTTCACCGTCAAGGCAATGACTAGACAACGAACACTGGCTTAACATCTCGAGATCTTTTAATATGTCTAAATTTTCATAGATCTCGACGGTCTTTTCCATCTAGTGAAAGGGAAACATCAGCATCAATCCTTTTCAAATGGCCTACAAAATAGATTTTAACCACTATGAAAAGATAATACTGAACGTAAGAAATGAAAACAAACCTTCTGCAATGCAACTCGGGCAGCTTCTCTTTCTCTGTAGCGTTGCATTTTCAATTCCGCCTCCACCTTCAATCGTGAGGCTGCTTCAGCAGCTCTAATTTGGGCTTCAATTCTAGCCTTCTCTGTAAACAAGAAAATTAAGAACGGTATAAAAAATTAACATTGTTTAGTAGTTTTTTTCATCAACAAAGTGAACAAAATGTAGTGGCTTCTTACATTACATATACTATTTAATATATTTAATAACACCAGCAACAATGAGTAACATTATTACATGATGCAGCATCAAGTGGCCTGAAAGCATTTAAAACCCAAGAAAAAATGAAAACAATGGGGAAGGTAAAACATATTCATGACTTCCACATTGAGAAAGAGGTTTTGAGCATGGAGTAGACATCATGTGTTCAAAAACGAAATGACATGAATGCAAAAGGACAAGAAAAGCCCCAGGCCCAAAGCAAAGTCGCTCATCAATCTGGTCAAATAATTGTGGTAAGGTAGGATAATAATCATGTACTATCCAATACAGGATCAGAAACGTCTGAATGAAACATGACAGAGCAGATAAACAGAGAAGCAGAGATATAAGTCTGCATTTAATGCCTATAGTTCTTTTATATCATAATTTTGGGACAAGTACAATTATTTATTGAAGTTGTCGTCATCGTTATTATTTCTTTTTAATAATTTTCAGGAACGTACAGAAACTAAAGATAACAAAAGCAAAGAAAAGGATTTGTTAACCATGGATGCAATAGAAGTCCTTAAAACCAGATGGCCTAATACAAAAAACTACTAAAATACAAAAATGAAGTTGCACCAAGAATAAACATAAAGCTGCAGGCTGCAGCAATAAATTGTCCAGGTGAAGTCATAAAAATGCAAAATGATGATCCAGATGCAAAGCATCTGCAAACCATAATACAGTATAAAGCAAGGTACTCAAAAAATGCAATTAAAAGGACCCACACCACATCTCAAATGCACACACTTAAAAACACTCCAAAAATGCAGCCTCAACTCAAAGAAATAAGAGAGCAACCTTTTTCTTTCATTTATTCTTCGCTTAGCACCTAAGGACTTTAAATGAAAAAGATGAAGATACAGATTTCTTTTATATTGAACATCTACTCAGAAAATAACTGCAAACCACAATAGAATACAAAGACTACTCAGAAAAAGTGATTAAGTGGACCAACACCACATGTCAAATCGACAAATGGAACAACACTCCAAAAATAAAGCCTCAATTTGAAGAAAAAGGACCTTAATAAAAAAGGGTGGAGATTTAGATGTCCTTCATATTAAACACCTAAGCACCATTGCACTGCCAAAAAATTATTGCATCAAAATTCATAATGACACCATTAGTGTTCTGCCCTCTCCTTCCTAATCTTTATTAGATATGTTGCCCATAACATAGATCAGAATATTGCAATTTCCATTTGACCAGTTCTGTTCTAGACCTTACTTGGAAAACCCTTAATTGTTTATATTCTACAAATTTCATTTAAAAGTCACAGAAATTTTCAGGATAAAGTTACCAACAGGGCAAAATCTCAAAATTTAAAGAAGTTTCAGTCAACGACCTCAAAACCTTAACATTTTCCAAAAACGCATACACATGTAAAACGATTATATAATACTAAAAATGTACAAACATGTGCATGTATTTATTATAGAAAGGTTAGCACAAAGTTTCTTAAATCACCTTTGCACTGTTGCCTTTTCAGTTTTTCCTTTTCTTGCTGCAATTTTAGCGAGTCAGCTTTATCGCCCTGAATGATTAGATCACAGCCGCAATAAGCAACAACTCACACTATACCTCCACCTAACTTCTAATAAGAAAGATAAGAACATAGTAAATTTGCATGCCAGTGTTACATCAAAAAATAAATGAAGGATTACATGATCCAATAATGTCCTGTGTTTTGCTTTCAAGATAGTGTCTGCGAAGCGGCTCTTTAACATTGCAGCACGTAACGCCTTCTTTGGGGACAGCTGAACATCAATAACTGGAGTCCAATGTAAACCAAGAAACCAGCAACAAAATCAAAGTTTGTAGGTATTGGATAACACTGCTAAACAATTCAACAATTATATAAAAACAAGCTAACCTTGTCCAGAAGCAGCACTTGTGGCAAAAGTTGAAAAATGAAGACCAGAACAACTAATTTCTTCATCCAAAGCACTTACAGCACCTTCATATCATTCCCATCATCAGGTCAAAACTCAAACAATCAAAACACCAAAAAAACCATACATGACAAGCATCCTCACCATCAGAACCTGCGTCTGATTTGCGCTTGTGTAATGTTGGCATGTTTTTATTCTCACAATCCTGGAACCAGTTTCAATGGTGTCAACTATAGTTTGAGTAATATGCCAATCAAATGAATCAACCTCAAGACAAAGTCATGAAATCTACAAGTATATTATGATCTTTACCATTTTCAAAGGATCCCCACGATCTTGTCCCATTGACCTTTCTGAAGACACATCTGAACCAAACCAAGATGCAAATGAGTTGATTAACAAAAAATCTCGAGTAGAGAGGCAACATAAAGAAATCTACTAACCACTGAAGGATGAATAATTTTGAGGGTCGCACAGGCACATCACACCATCACACGAACCACATTTGGACGCGACTGAGCTCAATGGTGGTTCAGCACAGGCAAAGTTACAAGCACTGCGACCACTATCTGTCCCTATAAGACACATTGCCAGTTAGCTCCAATGAAGAGCCATAGAGCAGAAATTGTATTCTATCACTTCATACCTTTAGTGGCAAACTTCTGAATAAATGGGCGCCTGATTTTTTCTGTCAATTTCACAGACTCCAACTGATGAAGAAAAACATATAGAATCAGGCAGATGGTAGAGAAGAATGAGTATAAAAAAACAAAGAAAAACATAGAAAATCATGGATGTCAGAAACACTGACTGCCTCGACGAGTATGCTACCTTTGCAGCTTTAACTAGAAAGGAACCCTTCGATGCTTCCAAACACTCCTTTCTCTGTGTTTGCTTTTTCTTAAGTGACATTGAACTCTTGGGGATCAAGCTAACACGAGTCGGAGAACCTTTATGGCAAGCCTGCCTTGTATCTAGGGTATTCTTTGCTCTTCCACTTGATATGCAATGTTCAATGCTTTTTCTCTCACCATTCCATTTTGTCTCTAGCAATTTCCATCTTCCACTGAAGATTTTATCTAATTCCTTTGCCATGTGATGAACATTGTTTGAAGGAGGGTTATACAGCATAGCATTGGAAAAGGTCAGTCGAACATCAGCGCCAAATTCATCAATACTAAAGTACACAGTCCCCTCCAATTTTGTTTTAATCGTTCCCAAATCCATTGGTTGAGAGATTATAGAGAAATAATCTGGAATATTGAGAGCCACAGGATCCACTGGTTTGTTGAAAACCCACGCATAAGGATGATTCATCAACGTGTTCAGAATGCTACTACACTGCTGCTTTACCCTCCGATCAATTTTCTGCCTCTTATTCATTTGATCGTCTACCATTCCTGGTGGTCGACGCTTATTAGAGCATCCCATGGTTAATTTCAGCTGCAAGCTATCAACAACATTCACTTTTGAATCTTCAGAAGAACCAATTATAAACTTCTGTGATTTATTCGTCTCAGAGTTATTGTTTACATTCACAGAAAGTATGCGACCACATTTATCATTCATGAAATCCCGCTGGTCAACTTCACATGATTCTGTCCCTGGCTCAGATTCAGCTTTTTTGGAGGCACAAATTTTAATCTTCAACTTCTTTTTTACAATACTCTCGGCAACAGTCATAGTGGGGAACCACTCAGATTTCCTGATTGCCACGAACAGCAAAAGAAGATGATGCAACAGCCACTGCATATAAATTTACACCAAATAAGAACCACAAAGAATCATCCAGGAAGAAGTGAACATAAATTCCCATCTCTCAAATAACATTTCCATCATTTACACGATTATATACAAACAACATGACACTTATGGTTCAGATTAAAAACAAAGATGGATGACCCTTTACCTACACACGACGACTGATCATTCAAAAGCAGATATTGAAATAAAAGACATTATTTCCCAACAACTCCAAGCTTAAATGAGACATATGGACCATACATAGAGTAGAGTAATATATCTAGAATTAGCTAGCCTGAGCAAAGATTTAACTATATTAAACTTGATACTACAAATCCAATTTGATTTGGAAAGATATACATAATTGCATAAATCAATAAACCCATCTTAGATAATTATCCAACAATTAGGATTGAAGAAAATGGTAAAAGGAGCTGATAATGCTCGTAAAACTTAAAACTCGTTCATAAATCAAAAAAAAAAAAGAAGTGTAAGGGGTAGAAATCGCTACGGATTTCATCCCTCCACTTGAAGGATTCTGGCTGACCTGGCGGCACCGAGCCTCAGTAGCCTTTACCTCTCTTCGCCAATATGACCCTTTCCTAAGGCAATCCCACATCGGAAGAGAGTCGTCTTCCCCCCTGCCATATAAGTGAACACTTCCTATGGAGGAGGTATCCACTAGCGACCTGATCAGGTGCCTCGTGGGTACCTCCTCCATAGGAAGTGTTCACTTATATGGCAGGGGGGAAGACGACTCTCTTCCGATGTGGGATTGCCTTAGGAAAGGGTCCTATTGGCGAAGAGAGGTAAAGGCTACTGGGGCTCGGTGCCGCCAGGTCAGCCGGAATCCTTCAAGTGGAGGGATGAAATCCGTAGCGATTTCTACCCCTTACAAGAAGTTCCATGGCCAATTCCGTATTAGGCAAAATTTCTAGTAATCTAACCACTAGAAAAAATATTTAAAAAAAAATTCAAATCAATTAATTAATCTAATTAATTTCACCTTTCACATTCGCCAAAAAAAAAAAGAACGAGAGACTCAATTCACCATAATTCACGAAGTTCGTAAATAAATCATAATTTATCAAAGCCAAGCAATCAAACAGATGATCAAAAATAGTATTCCAACGCAAAAAATTCAAGACAAACTAAAGGAAAATTTCCAGAAAAAAAAAACTAACGCAAAATTTCCAAAAAATAAAAAACTTCGTACCCATAAATTATTTTAGGGTCATGCTAGGAGGCATGAACTGAATATAGACATTCGATTTGGCACTTCAACACTACTCGTATTAAGCAAATGTCGTCTTTATCAAACCCAAAAAACCAGCGAATGTTAGGGCGGCCTTTATGCTACTGCACGAGGCAATGACGGGAATGTATATCTTAATGTACAAAACTGTAAAAGATCGATGGGAAACAATCCAAAAAATTTAATTCTTTATCAGAGAGCGAGAAAGTTCAAAAAGAAAGAGAATCATCACATACCCACAACTTAATTTAATTTAAAAACATGAATTCTACGAAAGATTGATACAACAAATTTTACAAAAGCAAAAAAAATAGGGTTTACGATATCGAAGATGAGTTCTCACCGGAACCAACTTGTATAACTCTGAAGCACTTCGATTCACCGATTCCTGTACCCAATAAAGCTTGATCGCAGAGAACTGACGTCAGAGAGAGAGAGAAGGGCATAAGCGCCCCCCCTTCGTCGGTTGCGATACTGAGAGAGTGAGAGTGATTACTATTCGAGTGTGGGAGGTAGAGGGGTTTCAGAGAGAAACTGTGATAGGGGCTTCACAGAATCTATCTGTTGACGCGTATTTGTTTTGTTGTGTGCCGACTTTGACTTGACAAAATGACGAATTTACCCCTGATTGTTATTGATATAAACAATGACTTTCCTAAAAAAAAAAGCATTAATAATACTATTCTGGAAGTTGCTTGCGTTCGAAGGGTTGATTTATTCTGAATGACGATTTTACCCTCAAAGACTGTGCTTAATGAGTTTCTAAAAATATCTTTCATTCCTAATCAACTACTAAGTTGGATTTTCATTTAGTTTCTAAAATTTAAATCTTTAATTCCTAATCAACTATGGCAAATTAATGAAAAATAATATAGATAATGGGATGTGAGTACTTTTTTTTAAACTTATTTGATTTTAAATAATACCTTCAAATTTATCCTTCTTTAAGTTCTTTTTTTTATCAAATAGTTGTCAATAAGTACATATTTTAAAATTTTTTCAAATTTTTTTTAAAATATATTCCATAATTACCCCTACCATAAATAGTACATGCCTAATTGATACTTTTTATATTTTCAATATCTAAATATTATAATGTGAGATTTTTAAGATTTATTTTGATATTTGTGTATTATTTAAATTTTAAAATTTCATACATATATATATATATATATATATATATATATATATATACACACACACATATAGTAATATCAAACAGTAACACACTTAACAAAAAAATAGTAATATTATCAAACAGTAATGCGCTCAACAAAAAAATAGTAACATCAAGAAAGAACACATTCAACTAAAACATAGTAACATCAAATAGTAGCATATTCAATAAAAAAAATTTAATTAAAAATTTAATATTTGATGTTACTGTTTGATATTATTATTTTTTGTTAAACGTGTTACTGTTTGATGTTATTATTTTTTTATTTAGTGTGTTACTGTTTAATAATAATAATAATAGTATTATTATTATTGTTATTATATGTGTGTGTGTGTGTGTATATATATATATAAATGTTACTATTTTGTTATTAAATGTGTTACTGTTTGATGTTATTATTTTTTGGTTAAGCGTGTTATTGTTTAATATTATTATTATTATTATTATTATTATTATATATACACACACGTGTATATATATATACATATATACACATGTGTGTGAATATATATATCTATATATATGAAATTTTAAAATACAAAAAATATACAAATATTAAAAAGAATCTTAAAAATCTCACATTTTAATCTTGAAAGTCTCACATTCAGTTAGATATAAACTATTTATAGTATGAGTAATAGGGCTTTTATGACTTTTTTTAGCAGATGTACTTCTATTCCAATTATTTTTAAAAATATATTTTTATCCTATTAAATTTTTAGGGAGGTACCGGCCTCCTGAACCCAAAAATAATATACTAATCGGACTTTCCTAAATGGACTACTTAAGATTCAAAATTCCATTTAAAAAGTGCTACCAAATGCACCGATAGAAACGGCCCCACAAACTCTCTATCACTTTTCTGTTTTGTGATGCATATCTTACTTTCAAACCGTACTTGTGAACAACTTCCATGCAAATATATATATATTTTTTGCTAATTAAATTCATGTATTTATATTTTTAATTTTTCATATTTTGTATCTTAAAATATTTTATTTTTTTAATTTATATATTCAAAGATTAAATTTCTCATGTTGTACCTTTAATGTATCAAAAGTGTTACAATATAATCTTTTTATTAGTTTTTGTTATTTTTTTAATCAAAAATCAATCCATTAACACTGAGAAATCATTGTCATTAAGGATAGATTTCACTCTTCGGAGTACAAAACTCGGTGCAACAAGACAATTGTGACTACCTTCCAAGATATAATGACCGCTTCTCACAAACATGCACTCGTAATGTGAGAAGTCAGGAACAACTTTGACTTGATATTATTCCAATACTTAAATAGATCAAAATATTAATGAAGAAATAATTTTGTGAAAACGACAGAAGAAGGCTTTCGAATTTTTGACTAAAGAAAACTTGATGTCTTTGGCTTAGGATGGCTTCGATGAGCAAACCCGGAAAGAAGAATTGTTTACTTGTTCTATTTTGCAATTGTCCCAAGCAACACTTTATATACTATGGCCCAAGGTGAATAAAAGGAAAGAAAATACTTGATGAGGCAATCAAGGAAGCAACGATCAAATGATATTGTGCAATTTATTTTGCATATGTAACAGCCATGGGTCAGCAAGAATCAAGAGAAAGTTAAAATTAAAGTTTAAAAGCTTATCTGAATTTTGAAATAGCCATGTTCTCTAATATACAATAATCCCCCACATATTTCAAAAGATGATACAGAAAAAAAATTGGGCTAATCAACGAGAATACAATGCTTCGCATTTGGTGTCATTTGGGCTATGAACCAAAACTAGGATAAGTAAGTTATGATTCAAGAAAATATGGTGAAATGGAAATTTTTTATGAACCACAAATCTCAAGTGTGAGCCAACAAATTTACCACCGACATTGTACTTTCTCTGGTCAAGCTGTTCAGCGCAGGTTGGCACTAATAGGCCATGCGCCCTACCTAGACATTCATGAGTGCTCTAGAGAACATGTCTTAGTTCTCATAGAAGCGGCCCCACTTCACACTCATATAGGTGAATCCATTAAGTGTGCACTGCAATTAAGCACACCACCCATAAGGGATATGGAATTCATTAAGAGCATAGCTCAACCCTTAACCATTACAGTATATAACATTAACACTGTGTACACCATAGGAAGGAACATAATCAAAAGAGTTATAGTGCTCACCAGGTCAATTAGTAACTTGTTACTACCCATATGAACCAACTTCATGGGGTCTCCAATCACATAGGTTGGGTTACCATCACTCTTGACCCATTGGAATAGACACAAGTCTTATTCCCCTCGATGTATCATGCACTAGTTTCTTACCTAATGGCTTGGTCAAAGGATCTGTTAAGTTCATCTCTGACCTCACGTATTCAAGGGATATTATCCCATCATTAAGTAATTGTCTCACAACTATGTGTCTATTCTTTCCATTGTATATCTTATTCTTTGCACAGGCTATAGCAGCCTAGCAATCACAAAGCATAGACACAGACAGAGCTGGTCTCATCCATAAAGGGATATCCGCTAAGAGG